TAAAGTAACTAAAAAGTTATTAAAATATTAAGTTATTATAATAAACGTTATTAAATTAAATTTATTAAAATATGGGTAAATTATCAGCTTGTTAAACTAGCTAACTTTGAGCAACCTTTTTTTCAGCATATACTAAACTGGCTTTAAATATATTAAAAGTATTTTTTGATACATATTTCAGCTTTAAAAATAATGCAGAATTTGAATTTTTTGTCAATGGATTGAAATTAAAAATTTAATTTTAAAAAGAAAAGAAGAAGAAAAAAGCTAATGATGATGTATTTAATATTTTTTGGATATGAAAACATAAAACTGTGCATGAGAAAAAACAAATGCAAAGTTTCTGAATATCGATTCACTATTTTCTGAGAAAGGATAAAAAACTGAACACCCTGAATAACTTTTCATAAAATAATCGGATTTTCACGCACCGTGATTTAATCTTATAATGGGTTCGAGCGTCATAAGCTAATTAATTAACGCCGACGTTATTAATTTCATAATAAATTACGAAATCAGACGCAAAAACGTATTTTCTCTTAATAAGCATAACCTTATTTTACCGGATTTAGAATTCTGACCCTTAAAATAGGGATCCGGAAAATATGGTTACAAAAGTATAGGCAGGAGGGAAATTAATAGTTTGGAACCCTTATTCTTAATTTCACTTTTTGCGTATTTCGCTAAATCTAGAGAGATTTTTTTAACAAATCAAGAAATTTTTGTACATAATCATAACTTTCTTTTCTTTCAGTTTAAAAATAATTTTTATAATTATTTATTATATTATCTGATATTAAAATTTTTTGCACAATTTTAAAGTATGAAATTTTAAATAACAAAATACAAATTTTGAACAAAATAGATCGAATAGTTTCTGAGTCAACAAAATTTTAAAAAGTCGTATATTTAAAACTTGATTTCTCCAGAACTATTCCAGCTTTTTTTTAAATTTAAATTTTGTATTTCGTCATTTAAAATTACATACTCAAAAATGTAATGCCTTACAATTCAAATTCTCTTCATTAGATCGAGGGTCATGAGCGGCATACGATAATCGGATCGGATAATCGGACGATAATCGGATTATCGTCTGCATTAATTAATTAATTAATGCAGACGATAATCCGATCCATGTATAACGACAACTAATTATTATTATTATTTTACATGAATCCGATAAATGAATTTTATAATTGCGTGCAAAAGCGTTTTTGATTCTCTTATCGAATTCTCGAGAAATAGCGAAATAAACAAAAGGATAAATTAACATGAAGGGTTCCAAACTTTAAATCACTATATATTGCCTAATATAGCCTTTTATAATTATTAAATCACTATATATTGCCTAAATTATTAGGACCGTATTTTCCAGACTGCGCTAACCCCTTCCCTCTCCTCATATTTCGAGAGTCACAATTCCAAATCTGTCGAGAAAAAAATATGCTTAATCTGAGAAAGTACTTTTTTTGTGTGTGATTTGATTTCGTAACTTAAAATATAGTCAACATTAATTAATTAACATAATTATAATTAAGCCCTTGAACTATTAAGATTGAGTTCGTGAAAGTTCTATCATTATCAAATATCGAAAGTTATTTGAAATATTAGATCAAAAGTTATTCTGGGTGTTCACTATTTAAATTAAGCATATTCTGTCAAATTAAGTCATTTTGAAATGAGCAGGAGTAGAATACTCGACTCCTCTTTAAAAAAAATTTATTCACTTGTCTCAAATGATGTTAAACTCATATTTCATTATTAAATATGTCGAATGAAATTTTTCCATTGCCAAGCAAACGTAATTTGAATTTCAGATAATCTACAATAAATTATTTTGAGTGATTTCCCAATGAAAAATAAGTATCCCATAATGTTGTAACAACATTTTCAATTATTTATAAATGGAAAGGGAGAACACAAGTTAAACTAACTTAATAAGAATAATTTATTACTTTTTACGTTAGTCGCAAAATCTTCAAAGAATCTCTGGTGGTTCTTGCTTCTTTTTTTAGCCTAGTTGCATTATTAATCAATGTTGCATTTCAAACTTTTTTTTTTAAAAAAAATGAAAACTTATAAAATAAAAAAAAAATTTCACTCAGACTATGCAAGGAATAATAATGATAAATGACCGTATAACATTAACATAAACTAACCCTTTTACGCTTAGTGCTTTTATAAAGTAATTAAACACTGATTGATCTTCTTAAAATATTCTTTAAAGTTTTTTTCTTCTTTTTTTTCTAATTAACAAAGGATAGTACTGCTTTTCTGTTAACCACCTTTCTTCCCTAAATTTTTGCGTTTATTTTGCAATAAATAAATTTTGATAGAACAATTATGAAGCTTTCATTTGAGAATCAGACTAAGGCAGACAGTAAATTTTTATTCGTCTTCGTTTTATTATTTTTCTCTTTATTTATTTATGTTGTATTATAAATAAAATATTACTTACAACAAAAACTAGCATATTCTAGATTTCGAGTTTTTGGGGTGCATTGGAATTGGAACTCCTTAAGCCTTATTGCTGATTAAAAATAAGGTTTATAGGTTTTATTATAGTATAATCTCCATGGATGTTACTATTCCCATGATCCCATGCATCGAATCATGGAAAAAACCAACTTTAGACGAAAACGCAGGGGGGGGGGAGGTGAAAGCACAAGCTAAAAGTAACTATTAAATATTATATGCCCAATTCTATTCGAGTCATTGAGTCGAATTAATTAAATAAATTTAAAAAAAAAGTACCCTTTAAGATACAGAGTTTGTGACTTTGAAGTTATAAAAAAAAGTTTGAATATTTGATGTTGTTGTTTTTAATGCCACTTGCCAATGCCAACAGGCGTGCTTGGTGACACCAAGCATATTTAAGGCAGAGGGTGCGTTTCTTGTCTTTTAGTGGCACCTTCTATGGTCAAGAATACGAATTCAGCCACACACACGTCACATGCATCCATCATCCAACCATTCATCCACAGATCGTAATTTTGACCGGAACCAGAGAAAGAACAATTTCCAAATCAGTACCCTCAGAGGTTTGATTTGTTATGGGAACATGGTGGACTTTGTGACCCGACTGATTTAGTGCATCAATCAACATTTACTACACGGCGAGTCTTCAACCGGCGAGAATCGAACCCTCGAACTATTGGACTAGGCCCAACGCTCTAACAACCAGTCTACCACATTTTGAATATTTAATTTATTTTATAAATATAATTATGAATATAACATAAAATAAATTATAATTATAAAATATATTACATATAAATATAATATAATTATAAATATAATTATAAAATAAATTATAGTAATGTTTCGAATAATTTATCAATTATAAAGAGTAATCTCTTAGTGGGTTAATGTATTGTAAGAATATCAAAAATAATTAAGTATTTCAATTTATTACAAATTTTAAAAAATATCTACTTGAAAAAGTATTATTTGTATATTATTTCATCACAATGCAACAAGTGCAATTATTAAAATTATTCCTTTTCATAAACTTTAGTCATTACACTTAAAATAATTAAAAATATATAATGTTCTTCGAATAAATAATTTATTTCATTAATTTCTGGCTCAACAGCGTAAATAATTTGGGTCAAATTGCATTGGTTATGAAATTTATATAACTACGGACGTGCTTTTTTTACCAATGCTTTTTTCCCCGGGCTTTTTCTATCGGTTAATTTTCGGCGCTCTTTTTCTCGTCTACTAAATTTAGCTTTGTTTTCTTTCATTTCGTAGTAAAATATAAATTCCAAAATCATTATAAAATGAATTCCTGAAATATGATAAAAAAATAAATTATAAATGGAATTCTATAAGATAAATTTATGTAATTTATTTTTCCCAGCAGTTTCTCTTTGTTAAATTAATATTAAGGATTTATTCAAATTATGAATTAAATCCTGTTTATTTCCTGTAATTAAGTTTTGTTTATTGCTGAAGACTGAAGATCTGTCATTTCAAGATGTAAGACTTGTCATTTGAAAAAATAATGGTTATAAAATACTTTTTACTTCATTAACAATATACAAAGTTCGAAATTTAAACCAAAATGATAGTTTGTAAAATAAATTTAATCTCTCTCATGCTCCATGATGGTGCACGTCTTGCACAAGTAAAAAGAGACCAAACCAGAAATGCTAAAAAAGTGAATTATTTCTAAATCTAGAAACCATGTCACCTTTCTTTTTTTCTTTTGACAATAATACATCTCTAAATAACTAAAACAAATTTTCACTTCAAACTCACCAGAATTGTTTAATATCATTAATGTCTTATGAAATACAGCAAATTTGAGTTCAGAAATTATATAATTCATTTCTTTTATATCGATTTATTTCTGTTACTCAGAAATTATATAATTTATTTCCTTATAAGTAAGTTGTAGTAAGCAGCTGCATACTTTCTAACTGGAAGTAGGGTAGGTCAAGAGCTCGTGATTGTTGTTGTTTGCCATCTATAACAAACCGGGAAAACCTAAACCCGGGAAAATTTCAGAAAACTACCGGTTTATCACTCTGCTTTTAGTATGCTTACGAGGCGATGGGATAATATTTTAGGAAGTTTTATTATTGTAATTTGTGTTAAAATTTATGCGTAATTTCACCATTCATAAGAGTTCTCTATAATTTATAAATTTTATCTGGTTTTGAGCCTAAAATAAACTTAAGAAAATTAATATGAAAACACAAATAAAGTGTCATGTTTTGAGTGTTATCCCTCATTTGGCTATAGTTATGCAAAATATCTTAGTTTGTAATTTTTTGAGTTGCATCATAGCATGCTTGTGGAGTTTTCCGAATTTGTTGTTTGTTTGGTTTAAATTTAAATTGAAAGAACACGTTATTTTGTAAACACTGTATAATTATATTAATATTGGATGGCGTGCTTTTTCAAACATTGGCGTAAAAATCAATCGGAAGTAGTAACCTGGAAATCTTACGACGAATTTTAATCCTTAGCGCCATCTGTGCTTAGCTTTACACGCTCAACCATCCATTTCTGATTTAATTATAAAATATTATTGGAATTGGAAGTATGGTAGTTGATATGAACAGAAATGGGTGGTAGAAATGAAGGCTGTGTAACTACCGTTCGTTAAATTTTTACAAGTTCCACTAGCTAAACAAGAACCGATTAAACTCGATAGTTGAAAAGATTTGATGTATGCTTTGTTTTCATCCCGTGTTTCAACCGTACTAAAAATCAGATCCCAAATAATCAATTTTTAATTTAAGTGTGATGTGATAAAATTTTGATTTGTGTCATTTTCGAACAATATTGTTGTTCATTGAATTTTCTCCTAGTTTTCTTTTAATAAATTACTTTCCATTTAAAAAAAAATGTCCCGTCAAATGTTAAAAGTAGCCGATCCTAAGAAAGTTGTAAGTAGGAAAATAATACTTTTGTTAGCTTTTACGTTTTTTTGTTTTGAAAATTGACTTTTGTTAGCATTCTTAACGATGACTTCTTATTGGAAGATGTGATATTTTTTAAATTTGAGTTTATCAATTTATTGTTCTTGTTTTATCATGTTAGTGGATTGAAAGCTTTTAAAAAGGAGCATGTGTATTTTCAAGGTGCCAAAGAAATTTTGAACTTGCGAAAGTTTAGGGATGACTAAGTATACCCGAGTTGGTCTCTCTGTGATGTGTTATTTTATTTGCTATATCCTATTGCACTTTTACCAGTTTTTTTTTTTTTTTAATAAATTACTGATATTGAACAGCCAACCCAGTTTTGAGTTACACTCAATGTTCAACTCCATAGCCCTGTAGTTTTTAATCTAATCTAGATGACAAAGGTGCTCCTGGATTAAGTATTGGGAGAAATTTGCATTGTATGGAGAAGAAAACCGTGTAATCTCCCATGATTACTCTGAGGGCAAAAGGACTGTAACCCAAGATTTGTCTATGCAATTTTCAAACAAATTTCCCTAAAATGAGTGACTGATTAATGATTGTATATAATTCGCTAGTGACAATGGTTGATGTAAATGATTCACTAGTGACAAAAGGATTGAAACTAGCTACAAGAGTTTATCATTGAGTGCTGAAAGTTTTTGTTAGTTGAGATTTTGTGTTCGCAGAAAGTTTTTTTTTATTTTTGAAATCTAACTTTGATGAACCCTGTAGTCGACTTTCAGTTGTAAAATGGACATCATAACTTAAGATCGCTACAACCTAAGTACAAAAAAAAATTTATCAAATATTTGCTACTTCAAAATTTTTGAAATTTTAATGATGCATTCTTAGCATATGATATTATGTTGGTTATGAGCTGCGATTTTCGTTAAATAACGCACGTCTAGAGAAAAGATAGGGTTTTAAGCTCAGACATCTCCAATTTCTGTATCCTGGTGGAATTTGTTCCTTCATTCTAGACAGCTTATGGTCTGAGTCAAAGTTAGAAGATTCTCAATAAAGTGAAAAGGATTTTTGGTGGAAATTTTTTTTCATTTTTTTAAAAATTTCCTGTACAATAAAAAAAGAACATTGCACATAACAACTTAATAAAAGCAATGTATACTTAATAATAGCATGAAAGTAGGTATAAAATAAAATTCCGTGATGAATGGATTCTTACTTTAAAAATTTGAGTTTTTTTTTTTTTTTCTTTCTTTCTTTTTTTTTTTACTGAGTAGGCAACATTGGCTTATTGGATTAGTAGTGCATTTTATAAAATAAAATGGATTCTGTAACAATGAATTTGTATTTTTAAAAAAGTATGCTGAAAGTATGTTCACTCATGTTGTAAATAATATTAGAAATGTAACAATTGTTGTGTCCTTTTTCAAAATCCTAAGTCATTTTTGGTCCACTAGTGTTTCAACTTGTAAGTCTTTTTATAAAAATATTGATTCAGTTTATGTGTTTAATTTTTAAACTGATATTATTTGACTGCTGAATAGCCTCCCTCAGATATACCTAGTCAAATGACAATTTGCTGCATTCATAATTATAGCTCTTGAGATTCTATTTATTGCTTGATTCTAACTTATTTATATTTTTTTCAACAGAGTTCCGAGTTGTTTGCCTTGACTTATGGATCCCTTATTTCACAGATCCTTAAAGATTATGAAAGTGATGATGATGTCAACAAGCAGTTAGAGCGCATGTATGACTTTTAAATATGAATATTAATTTAAAATTTTTTTTTTTAAATTTAATAGATGAATGCCTCAAGATCTTTAATTTAATGTTTGCAATTTATTTTGTTTTGCTTAGTAATTTCTTATAAAATGCTTAGTCCCAGTAATTTCTTGTAGAAACTTGGCCCCACCATACTTGTCGTACCTGTGAAATGCATTGAATAAAATTTTAAACTATCATCTTAAATATCAGACTTCCATATTCAGTCACCGTAATAGTTTCATACCTGCAAACTTTTTCTAAGTAATAATAAACNAGAACTTCAAAACTAGTTTAAAGGGCATTATAAAAATAAGCACATTTTTATATTGTAGTGAATGAAGAGTAACATAGGTTAATATCTTTTAAATAGACTCGGATGAAGTAAGAAATGAGTATGAGAAAGCACGATGCTTTATTAGAGATATATTTTTGGTAAGTTTTTATTTATGTATATATTAATATCAATGAATATTAAAGTATTTTAATAAAGTATTAAATAAGTAATAAAGTATTTTAATATCAGTTTTGTTTTTTGATATGTACTAAGGATAAGAAGTTTAACATCAGAAGAAATAAAAGTTGTTACATTTTTATTGACAAACTAAACTTAAATACAGTAAAGTACCGATCATCCGAGTTTCCGCTTTAACCGAGCTATCAAATATTTTTAGGATTCTTTTTGTTCTCGTCAATTTTTAAAACTACCGCCGGAAAAATAAATCTGAATTTTATCTTTCAAACACTCAGAAAAACAAAATCCAACAACTTGGTCTGATGAAATTATCGTTAATATCGTCAATAATGACAATGAATCTAGCGAAGATGATGAAGACAGTGATTATTAAAATCAACATATATAAATCTCTCATACAGATGGACTAAAAGCTATCGAATGTACTATTGAATATATAGAACAAAAAGAGGCGACACCAGCCTTCCTGTTATCCCTAAAAAAGGCGAAACATTACTACAGAAAAGCGCCAAAGTTACGTAGAACGAAAAACGATTAAGGATTTTTTTTAAGTAAAAACTATTTAATTCTCGTAAAGTATGCTTTTTAAATGTTTTTAGTAAGCTTTTTAATTATAATATGAATTGTATGTGGTATACTCGTATACATTTTGTATTTCTTAAATATATTACATTTATACCTTCTCTTTTTCTTTCCGTTTTTATACTCTTCGCTTTAACCGAATTTTTCAGTTATCCGAGTTTGTTGCAGTCTCCATTAACTCGGATAATCGGGACTCTACTGTATATATATATATATATTTTAGTAACATTCCAAAACTATTTTCCTTTTCTTGTTTTATTTTAGGGGTCATAATATAGGGGTGAGGATTGTTGAAGACTTTTTAGCAAGAACAAATGCTGGTCGTTGTCATGACTTGAGGGATACTGCAGATAAACTACAAGTAAGATAAAAAGTAGAACACTTTAAACTCTAAAGACTTTTCCAATTTGGCAAAGTCTCATAGCCTTTGGTAAATCTTATATCAGTAAGATTTTTAAATGGAGCTAATTTTAATAAAATTTTCTTTTTACATCGTTTCTTACTAAAATATTCATAATTATTAGATTAGATAATTGTTAGTACTTATTAGATAATTATTTGATTTAGATTAGGTATTTTAGTATTATACTGAAACTCATTTTTACTTCCCTTTTTTATTAAAAGAGGGACATAATTTTAACATTTTGCTTCGAATTTTCTATTTTAAAATCAAGTTAGCTCATTTTTATGTTTCTATGGAATAAAAGAAATTTCCAGTTTACAGAGGTTTCCAAATTCTGGAAGTCCAGATTTTTAAAATTATTCTGTAATATTTAAATTTGATATCAGTTACAGATAGTTATTCAGTAACGAAATGAAATATTTGTATGTAAGCAAATTTAATTGAGACTATTTCATTTTATTGCTTCAAATTGAAGTCTGTTTTTTTTTCTTTGGTCAGACAGCCTTCAAGATGTACTTGGGCATAACTCCTGTCATCACTAATTGGAGTTCTGCCGCAGATGAGTTCTCCCTTTTAATCGACTCAAATCCCCTGACTGAGTTTGTGGAACTTCCAGAGGGTCATAGTGGACTAAAATATTGTAACATCCTCGCAGGTGCTATTAGGGGTGCACTGGAGATGGTAAGTCATCTGTTTTTATTTTTTTTTTTTAACTGAGATAGATAATTAGGTTACTCTATATTGTTTTTAGATAATAAAAATAATGCTTCCATTCTGTTTTTAAAATTATTGGGGAAGTCTCTTGTTAGAGCTATACCCAGTCACCTCTTTAGCGTCTTGCTCTACGATCCTTAAGTGTTACTCTAAAATTATCTTTAGAAAAGTTTGTGAAAATATATTTTTCGATTAATAATGCTTTCTGAGGTCCCAGTGTGGATTCTCCTTCACTGCAGCAACTCTCTAATCTCTTCCCTTTTCTTTAACATTTTTCACTTTAAAAACTGTTTTGATTGGTAAAAAGAAAGATCCAGTTAAGAAATTTGCTTGCCGCTTAAACTTTTTATTTAACAGTTATGATTTATCTATATTGAGTTTAAGAACTTATTAACGGAAGTTGAAAATGTGCAAAATTTTTGATTTTGCATTTGAAGAAAAATATTAAATACTAATACACTTGATAGATTCAAAAAGCAAAGTATTTTAATTGTTCCATTTTTAAAGAACGTTTGGCCTATTTGTGAAACATTTTTAAAAAGAAACCAACAATGGTGCAGTTAAAAAAAATACTTATATATTATAGATATATTAGGGGTGCACAACCTGCGGCCCGCGGGCCAAATGCGGCCCTTCGACTATTAAAGTGCGGCCCGCGAGAGCTTCTAAACACAATAAAAAAAATTTAAAAAATGGCAATTTTTAAGTCATTACGTTTTGACACAATCAATTTTAACAGATTCTTTAGTAAATGTACGTTTAACGCACTTTCTTTAAGCCGATTTCATCGTAAATATAAATGATTTTTTTAAACAGTTATTTCCGCTTTTCTACGTGATTTCGAAAATCCCGAATTTTTATTACGACGCGAGTTTCAGATCGCAAATTTAAATAATCACTTTTTCTGCACTTTATTTGTGACGATTTCATCTTAAATCTAAGTGATTTTTTTTTTTTTTTTGCAATTCTTTCTTTTTTTTCAACAATTACTATGCGTTCCCACGTATTACGCTAATGTTTAATAAACATTACTACATTTGTCATTAACATGTCTAAATAGATCTACGGCCCTTCGTTAGCCAACCTGCTGTGCAAGTGGCCCTTCACTCAAAAAGGTTGTGCACCCCTAAGATATATAAATTCCTTCCTTATAGATATTTTGTTTAACAAAATAAATACTCTTGGTTATTTTTTCCATATAAGGTTATTCCTGTTCAATTGTATCTTACTAATGCACCAATGCAGGAAACTTCATTGTGATTCTCCATTACCATCATTGCAGCTACCATCCTTAAGGGACCTGACCTCCATTTCACATGCCTAGTTTCAGTTTTTTACTCAATTCTCAATCAATGTACAAAAACATAACAATACTGATATTCTAAGGTTGAGAGAATGTTATCTTGCTCACAGAAATAATATACAGTATGATCTAGAAAACCTGGACTGCTTAGGGATTCAGAAGGTCCGCATTTCTGAATATCATATTATTGGTACAATTTATTTTCCCGACAATTTATTTTTCCAACGAGCTAGTTTGCCCGGCAAGGCTGGCATCTAAGAGAAATTAGTAAATGGAAATTGGTAAAGATTTTCTGTTGGTAAACGTTTAACCTTTTAAATAAGGTTGGGCTACTTATGGCCCAGCCTTGCAACAAAAAGTGCAAGCGATATTTACTGACTGCTTATATAGTAACTGTTTATGTTGTAATAATGTATGTTGTAAACCTTTCCATCTGTTTTCTAAAGGACTTAGGCCATTCCAAAATTATAATTATTTTGGGTAGCATTGAAAGTTCTATTTTTTATAATTTATTATTAAATAATTTTTTTTCTTTCACTTTTTTTTATTCTTTTTGTTTTGTTTTTTTAAATTTATATTATTCTTTTTGTATTTTAAATTTTTGATTCATGTTTTTTTTCTTTCCTTTTTTTAAAATTTCTTTTCTTTTTTGCCTCTTGATTAATGGGAATTGAAAAAGAAAAAGTAAAAAAAAAAAATCTTTTACCATTTTAACAAGCTATTCTCTTGTGTTATATAAAAGCAAAAAGAACATAAATTAAAAAAAAAAATTTATAGTTCAAATGCAGAATAATAAGAAAGGCAATAAGGACTTGTTCGAATTTTACCAAAAACTAGAACATTTGATTCCAACTAATCAATTCAACTTTATAAAGAAGAGTAAAATTTCATTGTTGTATAATTTTTAGTTTAGTATCTTTATGTAAAGTGTTACTTTTTTTTATTTATTTTATAGTAAATTCATTTATAGTTTTATTAATATTATGTATCTGTATAGAATTTAAATAGTAGTGTTTATACCTTAAAATTGTGACAATTTGATTTTTTAAATGCTATCTGTATTATTCATAGCTAGTTTGGAAAGTGAGCACCAAGAGTTTATTGAGGCACAGAATTTTCTTTAGTTGTCAAAGTTAAATGGTCACTGTAGTGAAACTGTGCCTACTAACCTATTATTAAACTTATTTTTAGGTGCAAATGGATGTGAGTGCATGGTTTGTTCAAGATCAGTTAAAAGGAGACAGTACCACTGAGTTACGGATAAGATTTATTCGTCGCTTAGAAGAGGCCGTGCCTGTTGGTGAAGATTAATATGATCCACACTTCTTTTTTTTATTATTGAAAGCTAGAAATTTATATAATAAGATATTCATTCCTGTCCTTTGTAAATAAATATGTCTACTGTTAATAAGTCATCTTTTTTTTCTACAGAAAAAAAAATTTACTACAAGTTTTGAAATTTAGTAATATACGAAGATTTTTATTCTTTAACACTGACAACACTTTTATCCTGCAAATATGCAAAATAAAACTTAACATTACCAAAAATATATTCAATATACATTTCGTTAAAATTTTCAATATATAATATATTAGTACTACATGTTTTCTAAAAAATTATTTTGTAATGCAGGGTTGCTCATGTTTAGTTAAACCCTTATCTTATTCAGGGTTGGTATGATTTAAATTACTTTATTTTATAAAAACCACTCATTTAAGTCATATTGAAGGTTATATCTAAAGAAATAAAGTTTAAATAATTGCAGGGTTGCTCAATATGATTCAAATTACTTGATTTTTTTTAAAAACCACTCATTTAAGTGATATTAAAGGTGATAATTAGTGATATAAAGTTTAAATTATAATTGGGTTGCTCAGTATGATTTAAATCACGTGATTTTTTAAATTATTATTATTTGATGTTTCAAATAGTTAATAGACTAATAAACAAGAGACCAGATGAGATTAAAAGTTACTGAAACTTGTGAGAAATAATTGTAGTTTAAGATACCTATTTGAATTATATTCATTTGGTTTATGTTTATTTAAATTAAATGCTTTTAAAACTTAATAAATATGTAGTTTGTATATTAAATAATGAAGTAAGACTTGTTTTGCCTAAAGTAAGTTAGAATAATTGATTTTTTGTTTCTTGATTTAAATTAATTTATGTGAAATTTAACCAACAAATTGGGTCTTTATCTTTACAAGTTCAAGAGTGTGTTAAGATTGAATAAAAATAACTATGATTTTCTTTTAGTCAGTGTTTAGTTTGTAAAAATTACATAGTATTACTTTTTACCATTTTTGTTTATTATATTAAATATACAGACGTGTCAACTCTCCCGCATTTTGCGGGAGTCTCCCGAATTTTGAGTTATTCTCCCGTCCTCCAGAATTGATTAAAAAAACTCCCGAATTTTACTGCAATCGGCGGCCAAACTCACAATTACTTAATTTTTCCGCGATTGCAGAAGTTTTGTTTTTCTTTCAGGGTGAATTCCATCCCCTCTTATCGAACTACCATCTGCCTGAGGCGTAGCTACACGTGCTTTATTTTTCCCTCCTCTTCAACGTTACCCCTCTTTAACACTCCTATTTCACCCGCCCCCTTACACTGGGATTCGTAGGAATCTTCGTGTGGAGTTGAATGCGATGACGTCACATGACGATATCGTGTGACGTCCGTACAGGAGTGGGGAAANATGTTGCATACCATGCACCTTTTTTTACCCCTCCTGAAATCTCCTGAATTCTTGTTAGGGAAACTCCTGAATGTTAATTTTGCTAGGTTGGCACGTCTGAATATATATTATTAAATATGTATTTAAGTTCATATATTGTTTTTAGATTATATTAAGTATTGCCAATTCATTTTATTGGTTAATCTAAAAAATATATATATAATTTAAATAAAAAAAAATCATGATTTTTGCCTACCTTGATTTTATGTCCCTCTTTTTTTATGCTCTGAATTCAACATATCAAGATAGTATAAGTGTTAACTACATTGATATCTATTATTTAATATAGAAACAGATCAATATTATATTTTTTGCTTATTTTTATGAAGAGTATGCCATAAATATTGTAAAATTCAAATAAATGATTAACAAACAACTGATTTTCAATTATCAAATTTTCCGTTTTAGGAATAAATATTTCTTCAAAATTATTCGAATACAGCTGTTATAATGTAATGTATTTTTCGTCAGTAAGACCCTATGATCAGAGAAATGACCACTTACTACACCCTAGCAGCTTGATCTCCTTTGTAGGCGTAATTTAAGTCAATTGATAGCTTCTTGCTATTAGGTGAACCAAGAAGCTGAGTTATTTCCTTGGATTTATAATAGTTTAGTATTTATAATCTCTTAAAATCATTGCATCAAAAAATGTATGTACGTGAATATTCATTATAAAAAAAACATTCTTGCAAGCAATCATGCATACAACTTGTCACATTTCTGAACACAAATGGCAAAAAATTAGATTTGTCTCTCAGTAGAACTTTTGAGGGAAATCCAACATTTTTAATGCTTCCTTTTCTAGTAAGCATGCATATGTCTTTTTAAGTATTATTTAATATAGTATATTGAAGTTTAAAAAATACATTTGAATTTTTTCAAGTGACATTGTTTAATATTGCGCATAAACTTTAACCAGTCATTCAGTACTTTTTTTTTAGATTTCGAAATTTTGCATCTTGAGAACGATGACATGAAATCAATACTTTATTTTGCTGCTTTTAAAATTACATTACGATTTTTATTGTAATTAGTGTAAACAAAGTGCTATTCAGGATCTTGAATAATTTAGCAATTTGTGATTTTGATATTTTTCTGTCCCTTTCATTTGAAATTTTCTTTTCAAAGCATTACATTAGTTAGGAGCAGTCATTTTTACTAAATAATATACACAGAGAAAAACTAATACATGTTTTAACTCCATAGTAAACTATCTCGTACAATTTTCAAGCAGGAAAAATATGATTGATGAATATAGTGAATCCTTTGAACAAAATTTTGTGAAGTTATTATCATACCAGAAACTCCAATTTCTAAATAAAGGTGCTATATACACTTTAAAATTTCATTAATGGTGCATTCCATATTTCACAATTCTTTTGATAATAGATTACGCCCAGAATAGGTGCTCCTGTCACACGTTCTTCATTCATAGAGAAATCAAGAAAATTCATGTTTATTAAGTAGTAACATTAGTAGATATAGTGGTTTGTATAGTTTTCTCCTGACTTTTGTTACAGATCGACTCGTTGCCAATGAGAAAATGTGTGTTTGGAAAATGCAAAAATGTCTTAACACCTGCTTTTGGAGTGATTTTCTGTAAATTAAACAAAATTTCGGTTGCTAAATTGGAATGAATAGTTCAATTCTAATGGATGTTAAAATAACGTGTCTATGAAATAGCAAATGCGATTTAATGTAGCCAAGAATATAATCGAAGGGTCGCACTAATAAATGTAGACTATATTTTTATCAGCACAAATTTTGTTGACCACACCCAAAATAGCTGCAGATCTCTTTTTATTATGGGGAGTTTTTGCGATTGACTCCAAACCAAACAAAAGCATAATAGGTCTATTTCTAGCATGACACTCATTTATAGTTATCATTAACAGCCATTAAAATAGCAGTTCTTACAAACTTTATCATACATAGTAGTTAGAGGAATATCCACAATAGAAATCCAATAAAAAATTAAATTTGCAATTAAGTTTCTGATGACATTAAGTTAGCTAAAAAATACAGCAAAGTGATTAAATTTTTTAAATCTCAATAATTACAGACTTAATTTATAATAGGCTTAGGGGATTGCTAGGTTGTAACAGGTTCAGGAGATCGAAGGTCTAGACGTTTAAAAAAATCATTGATCACAGAAGTTTCCGGAAATCAAATTTTCAAAGGTCGAACTCAAAAACACAGTTTATTTTATTTGTTTGTAAGGGAGAGCCAGAAAGATACTTTATAAGCCTATATTCATTTTTTTATCAGTAAATAGTTGCTATAATCATAAACTCAAGAAAGAAAGGTATGTGTAAAACTTTAAATATATTTTAAGTAAACTAAGAAATATTGAGAAAAAGGAAAAAAAAACCTTGTTTAAATTTTTTTTCTAATTTTCCAATTTAACCTTTTTTTTTTAACTCAAGAAATTTTCTAGAATTTTGACTTGGGCTCACAATCACCCCTGTATTTGTATTTAAAGCAATATCACTTTCATTTCAAAATTAAAGTATATGAATAATATTTTTAGATTAAAGAATATTTCGAGCTTTGCATATTTCAACTTAAAGACTGGTACAATTTAATTTTATCTAAAACTTTCTCACTGGAAAAATTAATTTCATTTATTTATTATTTTTTTTAAATAAACTGCTTCTTTGCTAATGAAATGTAATTTTTAAATAAATACTTGAACTACATTTCTTTTGAACATATTTAAGTTAAAGAAAAGTTTTATTAAAAAGACATTTAAAGATTTATAATTGTTTCAGTATTTTTTTAAAATTAGCTGAAAAGACAGTTATTTAAATTTTGTTTGGAAGTTTCGGGACTCTGGAGATTTCAAAGCATTGAAAATTAAAAGGAAGAAAATTACAGTATATTCGAATAAATTAGTTCCATGAATATCACTGCAGATGTTATAAACAAAATGCATCCCATAAAGCCTAAAATGCAAAAAATAAATAAATAAAAAGAACAAATTTAGATTTAAAAAAAATATGCCTCAAAAGACATTAATATAAACCAGGACAGGTATTGAGCTCTAAACTATTATAGTGATTTTATTAACATTCTACATTTATATCATAGTGATTTTATATTCTACATTTAACTCATATTTGCAAAAAAAATTAAGTAGTTATTGTAAAATTTAATCAAACGTGTCCTCCCTAACAGAGCATTTATTTCAAATGAATATTTAAAATTGTACTAATTGGGATAAATTGCTGTGACTTCCTGATGTAAGATTCATACATAAAACACCAATAAATATTATTACGTAAAAAAATAATATTCAATTTAATGTTAGAAAAAGCATATATTCTTCCTAATTATTCTACATATTCTTAACTGCATAATTTAAAATGACATTGGACATTATTATTAGTTTCACCTGAAACATTTTGATATAAAATGTCAGACCTCTATAACACATTACAGAATTTTAAAAATGCTGCAAATAATTTCAATTTAAATTCCCCTTTGGGAAATATGAAACATAAACACAAAAGTAATAAAAAAAAAGAAAGGAAGTAACTCTATATTGCCTTCTTTTTATTGTGCACTTAAAATAAATTTAATCTGTACAAATCAGTTTAATTTATTCTGTACAAATCAGTATGCTATTTGCAATTATAAATTCAATATGTGATTAGTAGTA